CAACATGAGGTCATTTCTAACATCAAAACATATAGTTACTCATATAAAACATTTGATGAATCATAAATGTAGGTCCTAAATTCGCGGGTTTTATGTAACACCCCTAAACTTCCAGAAAATAGCAGTAAATTAAACTTTGGTAAAATACTGAAAATAACACAAAAATAGAGAAGTTAACCCAAAGGACACCGATATTACAAGATAGCGAATAAATAAATCTAAGTTACAGAGTTCTATGGACTTCTATCTAATTGTAGTATAACTAGTTGGGGCTATTACAACCACCAAAGACTGCTATCTTCAAAATGTGCCATCACTTCCAAAAATGCTAAACCGATCGTGCCTTCAAATGACACATGCTCCCAACTTATTTTTGAGATGCCACTATTAAGACTTGTTATACATGTTAACAAGATAAAGTGTTAGAATTTACGCATAATAGTGATACAAATGTAAGTTTATAAAGGAAAATGTGACGTTCACAAATCGTTGATTCCCTTATTTGAACATTCTTTCATAAGTAAGAACATGATTTCTCCAAAACATTTCTTTAGAAAGAGGGGAATAAATGAGACAGTTTTATCTTGCGATAACAGGGGAGACCTGATTCTATCGAGTGGCGGAGAACAAAGTAAGCCACACTATGATGTTAAAGAGTCCATCTTGAGGTTTTCTAGTACCCCGATGTTTGCTCTTATTTGGACTAAGATAATAACATTAAAACTCCTTACTTAGACAGCTCCCAAGGTTACAAGATGAGAACATCAAAACTCCCCATTTGTCTCAAACCAATGACATCAAGAAGATAATATAAAACTCCTCTCTTGATATGGTAACAACCATGCATATGGATTCCAAAGCAACAAGACCAATATCTGTCCAACGTATACACTCGAACATTTCAACATGTAACGCACGATCCTTTCATATCCCAGATTTGAGTAATTTGTTATCTTATTTCCCTCTTCCTTAATTTATGGAGCTAAGGTTATGATGAATCCGTAATAAGGCTATGGAGTGCTAATTTCACCTTTTTGATAAGCTGTTTATGTTGTGACCAATGCTACAACATTACCTCTCTGATGGCTAGAACTTGTTAAAATCTAGATTATTTTTTCACTTCTTAATTTATTTGACTTTGATGTACTTTAAGTGCTGGCCCTAAGTTTCCAGGTTGCACTTTCCCCATCTCTTCAGTATAAATAGAGGTGTTGGGATGAAGTTTTAGTAAGGGGCCGTTTATCTAAACACTTACACAATAAGTACCTACTGGTAAAATTCAACATCATCGCTTACTTACCGGGTAAGATTTTATTTACTAAAACGTATCGTATGCGACAATTTATCCCGGTAAGCGCTAACCATGGTAAGAGTGGTCGTCCTTCACTTACCAGGTAAGACTCTTGATTCTTGCCTTCGATCTTACCGGGTAAGATTCTTAGTCGTTGTCATATTCATCTAGTAAAGTAAAGTGACTTGGTAAGCGCTTACCCGGGTAAGCGTTTAGTAAACGACACCTAAGTTTTAGATTAGTTAATTTTATATCTCTTCTGAGTTCTTTTGATTTAAGTATTACTTTTGGCATTTACATCTTTCATTTAATTCTTGTCTTGCATTTACATTCTTATGTTTATGTCTTTAATTTATATTTCCTTTTACTTTATGTTGCATTTTAAGTCAGTTATGAGTAGCTAAATTTCATAGCTTGGATATGAGACAAAATGGTGAGATTTCAAACCAGAGGAAAGTTGACATCGTTTTGCAAGAATGATGTTCCACTAATTCATTTCAAGTTTTATAAAATACAAGACACTTCTTGACAAGTTGATCATTTTTAAAAATGTTAAATTGCACATAAACTTGAATGATGTAGGAAGTATACTCGAGAAAGTTGCGTTTTAAAAATAAAGAGATTTGTTATCTATGTCTTTTAAGAAGATTAGTTCTCGACAAATTGGTCACTTGACAAAATGTTAAAATGTAGTGGTCTTAAAGATAAAGCCACTTGGAACACATCAACTTGAATGATATGAGATTTGAAGTCGGTCTTTTATATTGACATCTTGCAACTTAAGATACATATCCATGTGTAATACGATACTTGGTTCTTACCATTTTATTACTTGAAAGGTGATAGTGTTGACACATATATACTTGCATGAGTTATACCACTTAATGTTGTAGAGATACAATATCTCTCTCATATCAACTTCATTCGTTTTAAAATCATTTGATACTCAATATTATTCATATTAATCCATATAGCTTATGAGTTATGATAAATGTTAATTTTTTATTTGTCTAATGCCTAGCCATGAGTAACACGTTTAAAAAATGTGTAGCACGTTTTGGTAACACAACATTTTATGTGACATGCCTCTCTCCCTCACCCATTTTTTGTTAACCAAAATTTTGTATGTTGTTTTACTATCAAGTCCTGTATGGATTAATTTGTCTGGATGAATTAAGCTATATTGGTGTTCGGTTGTTGTGTTGAATAAACAATCTGAATGATTGTTTTACATTTCTGTTTAGATTGAACATCAATTAAAATAACAGTTTAATAAATGTTTTGAACGCAAATTCTTGATGAAAAAGATATATCAGTTTTTAACAATTTGATATAACATAATGATATAAAATTCAATGATATGATCTTAACAAAATGGTTTAAATACAATTAAAATACTTGAACACTGCAAATATACAATATATGTTTCCCATCCTCCTATGCACTAAAAAGTTCAACTTTCCTCACAAATCCGCTTTTTACATGCTGAAATCGATCTTGTTGTTTCAATTTTCTAGACCCAATTCATGTTGATGCACTAGTTGGTTGAGTATGTATTGATGCATCTTTGCAATTTGACCATTTTCAGAACCACTTTCAATAATTCAACGTCTCATTTTGTCTTGGATGATATAAACTATTAGGAACAACTAAATTTAAAGCTAAAATTCCCATATATTAACCGAAATAAATAAGAAAATTTAGTAGATCCCATCATTTTGCTTCGATACATCCAAAAGACTGATACCAAATTGTCACTGATGCATAAATTTGTATATTCTTATTAAAACAATAGTTTTAAAGAAGTAGATAGATTGAAGTCACTTAAGAAAACCATAAACTTCAAGATAAAGAAAATCACATTAAAACGCAAATTTCAAGAAAAGGAAAAACCCACTAAACCAAGAAATTTAATTGCTATAATTAAAACCCAGTAACGTTTCACAAATCTGAAAAGGAAAAACCAAAAATGGAAAAAACCCACAAAACCAAGAAAATGAGATATATACGAACCAATTGAAGGCACAAACAAGGGTTTCAAAAAAATGCAACTACAAAAACCTCAAATCTTTTAAGTAACGTCTTTCTTAATGCCAACGTGTACTTACAGAAATGAGAAACCCCAACTAATATATGTTCTCAATTTTTTGAGAGGGAAAGAGACCAACTTAGAAGTATTTTCAAGTGGTGATATCATTTGACTATAAAAACTAAATATATAGATATTTTTCATAAAATCATCATAGGTCTGTTAGTTAGTTTATTGGTTTTCATATGTGAGACCACATGTTCAAATCTTTTATTGCAATTTTTTTTAGAAAGATAATATTCTGAAAGTAAAAGCTAAAAACTAAGAAAATGACACTAACGAGATTCAAACTCGGGTCTAGAGTGGAAGAATAGCCTTGTAAATCAACTTTACCAAAGGAAACTTGTGTTCTTATTGTGGTTTCAAAATATATATGATGGCACACAACAAATTGATATCATGACATTTTTCACGACTCTATATTTTTTATACTATGACAGATGAACGAAGTGGTGGTTCATGCTACCATATGCACGACACTGGTATGTCCTGCTAAGAGGAGGAAGGAGAGGGTGTGTGTTTCCTTTCTAGGGATCTGGGTTTCGCAAGGGCATGAAAAGAAAAATGATGGCTAAATGGAAAAGACACCCCTAATCTATTTTATTAAGCTACAATCGAACAACTCTGTATGGCTTGCCGAATAAGCCATACATCCCATACAACCTACATTACCGAACAACCCCTTAGTTGAGCATGGAGGTATACAAAAATCATATCTTAATTGGTCATAGAAAACCAATACTTTTTAAAGAAAAAAGCATCGGACCAAAGAAAGAATGGCTCGGGCCTTATCCGTCAACCAATCCTTGGCAAAAAATCCAGGAGCAAATCTACACCGACGTCCTCAACTTGTCTTTTTAGGGTATGTTTTAAATAACAGTGAGTAATGATTAAATCTAAAAGATCCAATATTCATTATGATAAACCCTTAACTTCATTTATACTGCATGTTGGGTTTAAAGGCGATGCACACAAAAAGAACCAACAGTATCATCTTATAAATTTTTTTGTATCAATTTCACCTGCATCGTGTTCGTCTGTGTTTATTGAGCTTTCTCGCAAAATCCAACCACTTCACCTACTTCATTGCCCCCAACCCCTTCTCGTACCCGATCCCATTCCAACCTCGATATGTGGAGTCGTCTTGCGCCATATGTACTGAGATTGTTCGAAAGACATGGTCCAAGCCCGATACAAGGATAAGTGGTAACCGCTCTATATCCGTCATCTCTTTTGGAGAAACTGCTGAGCTAGATCTTTACCATCTTCCGAAGTTCTAAATAATCTACTGATCAAAGGCTGTAAGAGCTATTAATAACCACAAACTAGTTTTTTAGCCGTAAAAAATAAATGAGATAGAAGATGTGAATTTTAGGTCGATGACTGCAACGTGTTTTCACGGATAACTAATCCATCAATCAGATTTATTTCAAAGGTTCACTTTTAAAACCAATACTCAGATTCATAAAATCCAAAATCGATTAACTTGTCGTTGTGAATTCAAACTTCCAAAAAAGGAAAGAAATTACAATCATAGTAAAATTGTTAAATTTTTTTTTTCAAGATATTCCGTATTTTAGGGTCAAATCCATGGATGAAATCTAGATATCCGTTTCAAGACTTCCAACTTGTACTGGTTGTTGGTAAATCCAACTACCATATAACTTGACGGATTGGCACTACTCCACCTCTGGTTACACCATGGCCACATCGGTTCTACAGACGGTGCTGTTGGTGCTCGCCTTATTGCTGTGCATCTCCTCTGCTGAGTATTTAACCGTAGACTCGTTCATCAATCACAGCCAATCTTACGACGGTGGTTTGTGTGTTAATCTCGTCGAACCTTGTGGTTATACTTGCTCCGAACACACGGTGAGTTCTTCCTCACTCTCTGATCTTTTCCGCTTTTAGACACATTTATATCGATGACTGAATAGTGTATCCGACGCTTCAAAATTTTGTCCGAATTGAGGTTATTGGGCGAGAACAGGACATAACTGAAATACCTAAATAAGTTTGATTTGATGACCAAGAAATATGAACACTGAAGGACGCCTATCTACACCGAAAACAAAATACTGTTGTGACGATGCAATAGTGGCATGGAGATCAGTGGTGTGGGGCAGTTGGGAAAGGGTGGGGTGGGGGCGGCAGTTGTGACGACAGTAGTGATGTGGTTGTGGGGGGTGGCAGACGTGGAAGTGAAAGTAGTGGTGGGTGGGTGGCGGCTGTGACAACGAACATTAATGGTGTGGTGGCGGGTGGGGGTGAGGTGGGGTGCTTGGTGTTGGTTAAATTGGATGCAAAGGTTATTTTTCTCTTTTTAGAACCAAATCATAAAATCCATTACATTTGCCAAATGATGAACTTCAATCCATTCAATTTTGCTAAGTGACGATGAAATCTTTAATCTAACGAATTCAACAGAATTCAAAGGATTCTTACATTTTCGATAAGTGAACCAAACAAAGGAATTGGAATTTGATCAAAGGAATTGATCATTCCAATTCCCTTGAAATCTTTGAATTCAATATTTTTGTTAATTTTCTCCATCAGAGAATATTGAATACATGACCTGTTAGCCCAATATTAAGTGGTGTAAATGAAGGATGATATTGCTATTTGATACTTTGTTTGTAGTAGCAATTGTTTTTCCTGATTATTGTTCTTTGTTATTCTTTTTGATAACCGTGGCTGGTTGGGCCTGCTTGAGCGAACCATGACTAATCCCATGGGGTCCTGAAGTTAATAGAGAGGCTGGGGACTCGAACCGATGAGGCAGTGACCAATGGATAGCAAACTCAATGTCTTACCTGTTGAGCTACCTCCAAAGTTGTTATTTTGTTCATTCTCTTCATTAGAGAATATTCGATTGAGAACATTCCCTTTTATAATATTGGAAGTCTGGGAACTAGACCATGCCGAGACTTTTTCTTCTTAATTGGCAGAAATCAAGTTGGTTTGAAGTTTGATTAAAATTAGGTATAATTTGATCGTTATTTCCTTCACTTTCAATTAATGTAATAAGCCCCCTATCTACTCAAATATGACTCAGAGGGGGTTTCAATGAATGTGATTTGACACCACCAGAAGCTTAAGCAAATGGGTATCTATCCTTCTGGTCACACATGTTTATAGTCAATAAATCTTGAGTTGGAATCTCACAAGATGACAACTTGGGAACCTTCAGGCTACATCTACTCAATACCAATTGGTTTTCAGATGGAAGCCATAAAATTGGGTAATGACCCAATAATTTAAATTAATTTTCGAATTGATTATTCTCTACTAATATGATATAAGGATATACTTTGTATAAAAATAAATGGTAAGAATCCTAAAAAGAGAACTAAGAATAAGGCTAAATGAGAGAAATTTGTTATCGTAGAATAGATATCGAAGATGATGAAAAATACAAGATAGGAATTCTTGAGGTAATTGTCAAATTGTCATGCATATGATGCATGACTACTTGTGCAAAGCCTGCCAAGGATTTTGAGCTAGGTACCATGATTAGCGCCCATGATGTGCACTTGGGGAATGATTTGGTCAAAGCCTACCACCATCAATTAAGCCTTTATGCCATTGGTTAGGCCGTTTAGTTGAGCAATGGTCCTGTCATATAGGTGTATACCCAACCCCACTCATAACGATGGATCTTTACATGCTGCAGTTTGTGACAATGGTCACATTGGGATCGCTCAATGTCTTTAGTTGAAACACAATGATACGCGGAGGTATAAGGTGCCACGATCTCAGTGGGTTTGATCTTGAGAGATTGAAGCATTGTTTGTTGACTCTCCTCTTGAGTAATGAGAGGTTAACACCCAAAATAAGCAAGTTTTCTTTATTTAGAATATGAGACTGGGCCATACCCTAGGTGTTGGTATGAAGAACCATAACATTTTTGATGAGTTGGGCATTTGCAACCTCACAACTAGAACTAGGAAGGAGGGCAGTGACCATCCAACTCATCCCACAATGTATGAAGTTTCTTATATTGAATGTGTACACACCTTCATGGTGCCAAAGAGTGAGATCACTAGAGTTGATGAATACACATCATGTTGGTTTTGGCATATCCTTTCTCCATTTCAAGCCAAACCTCATATGTTGTGTCCGTATGCACCATGGTTGAAATAAGGTTATCTCTATCAACGAAGGGTAACTTGTTTTCCGCCCTCAAGGTGTTGATCATAAGAATGAAACCATTTAGGTACCTTTGAGTTTAATGGGACTGATTTGTGGGTTGATTGTCATCGGTGAGGTAGAAATGCGACATAGAATCATTAATAGGAGGAAGCTATTGTTTTTTCTTCTGTCATTCTGGCTGTGGATTAAGAAGAAAATGAAGATTACTTTGGTGCGTAAAACTAAACTTACTCCAAAACCATGTAAATTGGGTAGTGACTCGATAGCTTGAATTAATTTAAGATTTACAAGGATTTTTGAGGTAATTTCCATGCATAGGATGCATGGTTACTTGTTTAAGATATGGGAAGGACTGTGAGGTAGATGTCATGCAGAAGATGGATGGCTAGGTATATACAGGAATCATCTCTATTAGAATTTGATATGCTAATAGCAAAGCTACTTCATATGTGTAGGCCCGATAGACTGCATGCTCAATCTGTGCCCCTGATTGATGTCTAAGCCTTGAGCCTGGTTACTTGGTCATGAACTGTGTCAAGATTACTGATTCTACATTAGAAGAAACTTGAGGAATGGCTATGCTTGATCCACAATTACATCAACTCATAATAAATTAATCTTCACTTGGAACAATAGAGGTCTGATGTTCTGTCGTTTGTGCATGTGTAGAAAATAAAAAGAGTTTTGTGTTGCCAAGCCATATACAAGAAGATTAGAATCATAATGCGAAATGCTAAGTCCAAGCAAACCATAAATAGTTATTCTACCTGTTATCTAGTTTCTTTGTTAATTAAATGATTCAATATTTTTTCTTGTGTATAACTGCAGATTCAAACAAAAGATGGTTTCTTGCTAGGTCTTCAACGCGTGTCATCAAGCATTGTTAATTTGGAACTGCAAAGTGCACCTCCGGTTTTGCTCCTACATGGACTCTTTATGGTGACTTTACCAGCTTTTGTAAATTTAGAGCATGGACCGTTAAATCATAATTTATTAATTGCTTTAGCCTATCAAGTTAGGAGTGAATGAAGAGTAGACTAGTCAATTAATATATATAGTAGTCAGTACTTTTGACATTCCATTAGCAACTAAAGAGCTCACTTCTAGCACATTTTTAAAAATTATGCCTGGCTATGCACGACTAAGGAGCTTAACATCTATTGTTGCTTTCTTTTTTCCACTTATACAAGGAACTAATCAATTGACAACTTTTACAAAATAATTTAAATCTTAATCAGGGTGGTGATGCTTGGTTTATGGATTCTGCAAAGCAATCATTGGGCTTTATTCTTCCGGACCATGGTTTTGATGTTTGGGTTGGAAACGTGCGTGGCACAAAATGGAGTCATGGGCATGTATCTTTATCAGAACGAGATAAGGTACATAAAGTTTCTGTACTATTTCTTATGGTTTTTCATTACTCTTTTCGTTGTTCTTGGTATATCATGTTGCAACAATTTTCACGGAATGTTCATGGAGTGCTTGGCTCTCTACTATAATACATAAGAATGATGTACATTCATATACTACTTCTAGAGCTGCTCCTTGCAATGGACTTACACCTCATGTTGTCATATTTCTGTACTTGTTTCATCTCACCATATTCCTAATACTTTTGAATCACTGATCTTTGTTATGAATTAGATGATTGGAAGAGCCTTTTCTTAAATACAACCAATTCTAGATGAAAATGTAATTTTTAAAATTTATCTGTGGAAGGAAGATTCTTTATAGGCATGATAATATGATACTCCTCTCTGTCTCATGAAGTTTTTTAATGTTTAACCAGACACATAGTTTAAGTAAAATGTTTGACCATCAGTTAAATGTTCAAAAATTCAATATATCAGTGTCACAAGTTATTTCTAAAGGCGATAATGGGTAAATAGGCCAATTTAGCTTAAAAGGTTGCCAGCAAAAGAAATATTGCAAATTTCGTTAGATATCCTGAAATAGAGACTATTACAAATTTAATGGGATGGAGATGTAGTAACTTTTTGGAATGTTTATGCCTTCCACATGCATAGGAATTTGAATTTAGTTGAACTCTTCCATGGTAAAACTAAACAGTGTTGCTTCGACATCTGTCACAAGAGAGGAGAAGCAGAGTTCAGTGGTAAAAGAGTACATATGCAGTAGCTTGTCATGAGATTTTAGCACTGAATCATTGTTAATGAAGCTGGTAGATGCTGATAGACTTTATCCACCTATAGAAGATAATATAGAAATGTCAATCTGTGGATCCTACCAGAACCATCATGTAACTTTTGGCTTAATGTGGAAATATGATTTCGAAATAGATTATCATCATGATTTTATAGTGACAGATAAACAATAACTTCTTATTTCTGTGTGTCTGTGATCTCATCTGGCCCTTTACCCTGATTTAGGATTTCTGGGATTGGAGTTGGCAAGAGTTGGCTCTTTATGATCTTGAGGCAATGCTCCGTTATATAAAGTCCGAAACTAGCTCTAAAGTTTTTGTTGTAGGACATTCACAGGTTCTGCCACTTCAGTTCTGTTGTTTTCCAATGAAAACTCTGCCAATTATGACCATCTAACATATCTGCATTTTGATTTTTTAAGGGAACAATAATGTCCTTGGCTGCTTTTACTCAACCTGATATAGCTGACTTGGTTGAGGCTGCTGCTCTTCTTTCTCCTATATCATACTTGGATCACATCACATCTAAGTTTGTTCTTAATCTTGTTCAAATGCATCTTGATGAGGTTTCTTTTTCTTCCCTTATTCAAATTTATGTGAATTTGATTTTGGAAGTTTCATACATCAAAATTTTCTTCACAGGCACTTGGATTACTGGGAATACATCAATTAAACATGAAGAGGTTTTTTGCTTTCCATTTCTGTTATTCTTTTCTGCATTTACCAGGCCTCGTCTTATCATTGATGATATCTATGCTGTTCTCAGTGACATTCTCACCAACATCATAGACTTGGCTTGTGATGGGCATGTAGATTGCAGTGATATGTTAGCATCTATCACAGGTTATTATTCTATACCTTCTTCATGAGCAGGCATCAGCTACAGAAAATTGCAACCAATTTTATTGACAAAAAATTATATTTCAAGGGTTTCAATCTTGCTGTCAATGTAATACTAATTGTGCTTATTTTGGTAGAGTAGTAGAACATCAAGTACCAACACATCCTTATAGAAAATGAGAACGAATTTAGTTCGTCCAGGACGCCAACTATTGAAATCGTCTACAAGTGAAGGATATTTAAGAAATTTATAAAGAGGGAATAAAAACACGTGGTTCTTGTCTTGGAGGGAGCATTTAGCAGATTTCCTAGTGATAGAACTTGGTGCACATCAAAGAAGTTATCGAGGGTATGTGTAAACTTGAGCACAATAATTCCTTTTCAAGTTACAAATTTTACATTCTTGTTGGGCAGCATTGTCAAATTTAAATTGTCCAAAGCCTAACAAAAGGAACGGGTTGATATAAATTAGAAGGATGGAGAAAAGCTTTGACATTTATATGTCATACAGTTGAAGGCGATGAGCAGTTATTAGGGTGAACATTTTGAAATGCATGAATATATATGTAGTTGAGCTGGATAAATTTTGAAATACTACACTTGAGACAAGAGTTGGAGAGGGTGTTAGTTATAGAAATGAAGCAGTTTTGTCTTGTGTTTTACACGTATCTTCCATCTTTGTTCTAAATTCTAGTTCACAAGCCGACAGAAAAGGTTAACCTTATATTCAAACTAAGAAAATGAATAGGAGCTTGAACAATAAATATGATTATAATGTTGAAATAAGGCATAAATGCACACTCTGAAATTCCATTTACAGACAAAGAAGTATGTGAGATTGATAGCCACGAGATGTAGAGGATGTTAAAGGAGCGAAGTAGGTTGTTGCTTGCTCAAGTGCCACTAAGAGGATGTGGTTACTCGGAGCAGAGTTTTTGGGTGGATTCTCATGAATGTTCATGTGTATATTTATATTACAGCAAGGGTATCAAAAGAACATAAGCCAGATGATGGAATGGGAAGATCTAGAAATTAGAATTCTCAATTCAGACAATCCTGGACTTTTCCTAGTTCCTCAATTGCTGAATGGTGAAAATTACTCTGCCTGTAGCAAAGCAATGCTTATTGCTCTTGCCGCCAAGAACAAGATCGGTTTTGTGGATGGATCTTTGAGCAGATGACAGTCCAGTTATCCCAAGTTCGTTGTTTCTCGTGAATGTTTACCCAACTAAAGTTGCATCCAGACCATCAGTTTTCTTCCATCTTCTCATTTTATGAGGTCCCCATCTATTGATTTGCGTCTGATCTGCTAAATTGGTCAATTTGTCTTTACAAGCATAATTGAGTTATTTGTGTGCAACTTTTTTGTTGGATACATCAGTATGCTTCACTATAATGTTACTGCCTTGCATCTTGCAGGTGAAAATTGCTGCTTTAACAGCAGCCGAGTGGATTTCTATCTTGAATACGAACCTCATCCTTCATCATTAAAGAACTTGAAACATCTTTTTCAAAGTATGCTCTTTATACGCCCTAGTTGGTTTCCTAATTGATTGTCTTACATCTTGTCACCAAATTTATCTTTCTTTTGTAACAAGCCATTAAATTATGAATGGTTATAGTTTACTATAATTGTGACATTTGCTTGTGAGTGAATTTCCTCGAATAGAGTACAAACCAAACGAAACGAACCCAGTATATCTCATCTAGAGATGGTGTCCGTGGAGGGTAAGATGTACCCCATGGAAAATAGGGTACAACATGGTTAGAAACCAAAGCACAACAATTCTCGCACATGTCTTTTCTGCTCCTGACCTTTTATGTTTCTTGAGTTGCAGTGATACGCAAAGGTACTTTTGCAAGGTATGACTATGGGAGTTTGAAAAATGTACTACAGTATGGGCAAACAAAACCACCAAGTTTTGATCTTGGCCAGATCCCGGAATCATTGCCTATATGGATGGCTCATGGGGGAAACGACGCATTAGGAGATGTAATTGATGTGCACCACACCCTAAGTGAGTTGCCATCAAAACCAAATGTGTTGTTTCTCGAGAATTATGGTCACATTGACTTCCTCTTGAGCACAAGAGCATATGAAGATCTTTATGGCAACATGATCAGGTTCTTTAAGTCATGTGGAATGTCCAGAAGCTCTTAAGCGTCAACGATGCATGACCGTACGTAAGAATCTCATCTGTCCTATTTTTACTTGCTCCATCCATGAAACTGCAACATTTCCTATTTTAGAAAGATTTGAAGTTAAAGTCATTTACATGTACATTATTATCATTACGAATAAATTGAAGACAACAAGACCCTTATCTCAATAACCAGATATTTTGGATATTCAACCCTCTTCTTAAGATCACGAACCGAGTCAGACAATGCTTACCCAAATTGTTTTTATAGATAAACACTTGTTACAAAGAGGTTGGTAAACAAGCATTTTCAATTGGCCGTTACCCAAATCGAACTTCGTACCACCACACTATCACCCGGTTAGCGTTTACCCAATTTTTATTGGTAAATATCCCCTAAACTATATGTCTTGATCAAGGTTGCTGTTTTTCATGGAAATGATGCAATTTTTTTCCTTGTTTTGGATTGAGATTGGGGGGATATGTTGTGTTGATTTGGTGTTTGTGCACTTTGTAAACAGGTGACAGCAGGTTTTAGTGGATGATGCTAAGTTGTTGCCAAGATTGAGGTGGTTAATTTGGTAAGATTTACACTTCAGTCAATCCTTGTATAGATGTTGTGGAAGTTGTAACTTATGCTATTTATACATGAATTACAACACAGACTGTATTATTTGCACAGCTGACCACCTACACCTTCTCATATTATCAGCAACTGCAAACAAGAATGTGAATATATAAAAATTATATATAATGTTGTGTTGTAACTTGGTGCATTGTAAATAGGTGTATGTGGTGTGGTTTAGTCAAAACTGCAAACCAAATCGCATATGCAGTTTGAGCAGAGTCGTCTAATCTTTTTTGAGCCTTTGTTACACATGTAATAAGACTGCAGTTTGACCGTAAGAGTAATAAACAAAACAAAATAGTTCATATTGTATATCATATTAAGGGGCAACCAAGAGCATCCACTATGTGCTTTTTATGAAGTTTTTGAAAGTTCTTTTAAAAACTTTTGAGGTTTTCATATGGTGGTGAGAGGTTTTCGAAATGAGGTTTCTGTTAAGGTTTTTCGTCATAGGTAGTAACTGTACAACCTGTTCTTTTAGAGGTTTTCCGTATTTAGTTAGTTTTAAATTTATATAAGAGTTTTGTATTCAATCAGTTTTATTTATTGCATACGATGTCGTTTTGGTGGACTAAAATCTTACTAGTTAAGTAATTGATGGTGTTAAATTTTACTGGTAAGCACTTATCGGATAAGTGTTTGGTAAATGACTCCTTAAAGTTGCTTGAGGATGCCGGTTTGTTGGCACAAGCTGGAAAATGTACCAATGGAGTCAAAGGAGATTTCAAAAAAATTAAATATAAACCCAGTAGATGTTACAAGTATCGGGTAAATTGCATGAAAAAAAAATAACATACTTTAACTTCATTCCTATTTTTGGTAACGTACTTTCAAAACTTTCATTTTGGTACCTAAGACGTAAAGTTTTAAACATTTAAATATTCGGGTAATCGGTTGAAGCATTAACCGGTTACCAATGCTGACGTGGCGAGTGATTTGCTTTACCTTTTGAATTTAAAATTCAATAAAATTTTATAGGTAACTAATCAATGCTTCAACTACTTATTCGGGTACTTAAATGTTTAAAACTTTACATTATAGGTACCAAAAATACATTATTCAAAATAAGAATCAAGTTAAGATACGTTATTTTTTAATACAATTTGCCCAAACTATAAACCAATCCTAACCTTATAATCTTTTAACCCAAATGGTTTTAATTAACATTCAATTTTTTATTAAAAAAAGGCACTAGAGTAAATTTACACCAATTCTTTATCCTCTAAGATTTGATTTTCCTAATTATTTATCGTTTTAAAACTAATATAGAACACCATTTTTAAAAGTAAATTACTTCAATTAATTAAAATTCAACAAATCATATAAAAAAACAATTGTTTTTTTATTCTTTTTAATATGATATTAATATCACTTTACATTTTGAAATTTTTTTTAATCCATTACTAATTTCTAATTAAATATTATTCGTATTATGATTTACTAGAAGTGTACTCGCGCAATGCAGCGAGATACATCGTGTTTTTAATATTTCATTTTATTTTTTTATCTCAATCGATGTTATAATATGACTTTATGTGATTTTGAGAAAGCGATGATGTTTTTATTTTTGAATAAAATATATGTTTGACGATATCATAAAAATTTGACAAAAATATATCGATATTAGT